CTGAATCACAGGCTCAGGCAACCTGAGCCAGTAGCTCATCGGGTGAATCACTGAGCTGCGGCGTATCAGCGCGACACCTACCTGGATCAGGTTCATGCAGACGAACCAGAGGAAGTTGCGGTGCCTGGAGAGCTGCTTGAGGTACTCGGCCAGCGTGATCCTCTTCTCCTGCGGGGCAGACGGCTGCTCCACGTCCAATCTGAAGGGAAAACAATACTGCTCTTAGTGATCCCACCTGGAGGAGGCTTCCCATTGCACTCCCTTCCCTTGCAAGCTCAAAGGGGTCAGCATTCCCAGCGTGGCTCTAACCCTAGCTCCCTGGGTGATGTTGTATAAGTCACCCCCAGCACTCCCTCCTTGCGCACCCAGCCAGACACCTTTTCCCCTTCTCTTGCTGCCAACGCCCATTCTTGATCTCTCCTGTTTCCAGAGCAAGCCAAAGGCAGCAAAGCCTAGGGCAGCGCATGCTTCTTGCTGGAGGCAGCACCGGGTTTGTCTGCAGAGACAGCGTCTCAAATGTGCACCCGTCAAAGCACTTCCCACTCCAGCTGCCGTGACATTTCAATGCAAATCCATCCAAGCCTCATTCAAACCTTTGCTATTAGCCACACTGTGGGAAGAGCTACAAGCCCAGGCCTCCCAGTGCTAGGTGCTCCAGGCTGCCTCCAGTCTGAATTTCAGAGAAGGGACAGCAGCTACAACAGAAGAGGGAAAGCAGGAGGCCTGTGAACAGTGGAATCAGCAAGGGTCCCGGCACACTGACTGCCAGACGAGTCAGAAATGTCATGGTTCTTCCATCCTCACAAGAAAGGGAGAGCAGGAGGACTCTGCTGGGCAGGACTGCTGCTACAAGGCTGCTGCACTGGCCTCTGGCTAGGAGGTTTGCTCTCTAGTCAACACCAGGAATTACTCTCGGCACTGCCTGTCTAGCTCTCAGGCTCAAGCTGGTTTCAGATGTCCCTAGAGTTTGTCCTTGCACCGCTTTGTCCCTGGAAGCCCACTGCAGCCTGGGAGACTTTCTGTTCGTCACCTACGACTGCTCCTCAAGTGTGTGTCCCCCCCACCCCGATTCTCAAGCCCGGCTCCAAGCAGCCCCTTTGTCTTTGCTGGTATCCACACTTACACACTTGCAGGTGGCTCTCTCCTCCCCAGGGACCATTGGTCATGCAGGCCGGGCACAAGGAGCTTGACGCTCCAAGTCACTTAACCCATGTCAGCTTTGTCACTTGGCGCCAAGTCCAGTGACCCTCAAGGAGCTGGTGGCTCTTAACCCACTTTTGAACAGCAGAAGACTCTAGACTGCTACAGCTGTATTGCCCCACCTGTGCTGAGCCTGGTACAGAGCCCTGCCTGCTAACAGCCACCCAATGCAGCAGCACAGCTGGATCTGAGCAGCCCGCAGTGGGCACCACAGTACCGCTCCCCAGCTCGGTCTCAGGTGTGCTTCACAGCATGTGCCCAGGGCCACTCTCAGCTAGCTGTGCTTCCTGATGGGCTTTGGCATGCCCCATGCAGGGGCAGGTGGGCAGGGCTGGCATTTTGGCTGCAATGCCAGGCAGAGCAGGGAGGCAGGACAGACAAGCCCTGGGGGACTGAGGTGCTCCACATGTTCTCCCCTTCAAGCAGAAAGCTGCTCAATGTGCTGGCGTGGTGGCCAGGGATCAGGCCACCACGTGAACGTGAATGAAAGGCTGTGCCATTTGGTGCCACTTACTCTTTCAAAGTGGCCTCTTGGTCCCATTTTGCTTTCCCTTCAGTCTCAAATCGTTGCCTCAGCAGCCACGTTGACAGGCTGAAGCCAAGGACGGAGCAGAGAGCCAGCGCCACACAAAATATGCGGAAAGAGAAGAAGTCCTCTTTGTTCCACACTGCGTAGGACATGAAGACGGAGAGCGAACCGATGGCACTGAAGAGCGAACAGTAGAAGTTGAGGCTGGTCCTGTCCTTGGCAGAAACGGCGAGGTCCGCGAGCAAGGCGTTGTGGTTGAGATCGACCATGGTGAGGAAGCTGTCGTAGAAGCAGAGGCAGAGGAGGAACTGCAAGCCTGGGTGGGCCCACGCAACCCAGAAAGCCAGGAAGGAAAGGGCAAATAGGGGGCCATTGCGGCTCAGAGCCTTAAGCCTCTTCAGAACAACTTCTGGCGAGGAGATCTCCGCTCCCGGCCTGCAAGACAAGGGGGAGAAACTTTGGACACATTCCTCTGCCGGGGGAGACGCCGAGCTATTGTGCACCACCTGTTTCCTCCTGACAATCCCAGAAGGCAGCCATACAACATCTACCAGGATAGCAAGATGCCTTGTTCATCTCCTGTCTGACCCTGCCACTGTGGGAAGGAGGTGACCCAGCCCCTGACCACAGGTAAAACAGCACAGGGGAAGCGCAGGGTGTCACACAGAGAGCAGCACTCGGGCTGGCAGCCTGGCACTGTCTGCTCTGCAATCCTGTGGTAAAGCCATGGCAATGCAGGCTGCTCAAACCACTCAAGCAGGGAAGCCCTGTCCCACCCTGTGGACAGAGGTTTACGACCGCTTCCGACTCCAAAAACTTCTGCTTGAGCACCACAGGCTCCTATTTTTGGATCTGAGCATCCTCAGGTCACCTGCGGGGAGCTGAACCTGCTAGGGCTGTAGTTACAGTTACAGGTGCTGGTGGCCTCCTCTATACATCGGGTGCTAAATGATGCACAAGCAGCACCCTCAGGATGATGGGGGGTCGAGGGGGAAGGTGTTCATGCCTGCAGCCCCATTCCTATCCCATTGTTTTTTTCACCTGACCTCCTCGCAATCTTTTTTAGCCTCCTGTGACGATATCTAGTAACTTTTCAATGTCTCGTCCAACCCCATGCCTCAGGTAGGGAGCTGGACTAGATGATGCCTGGAGTTCCCATCCAGCCCTACCTCTCTCCGATTCTAGGACTGAACCAAGGATGCAAACAGAATTAGACTTACTGTTGCGTGCTAAGAAATACCCGGTCACTCAGCCAGCCAAAGAGGGGGTCGTTGAGGCTGTTCCAGATCAGAAACACTGTCTAGAGAAGAGAGACAGGACGGTGAAACAGACCCCGGCAAACAGTTTCAGCAAGGATGTCTAGTTAGAGAGATAACCGCCATTCAGAGAGCTTAGTAACCAACAGTATGTTTTAAATGGGGACAATACAGCACTTAAATACCCCTCCTCCACCTTGTCATCACACCACAAACCCCCTCCTCTACCAATATCGGTCAAGTACTAAATTGTAGAGTGACGCTGATGTACGGATGGTATCTACCAGCAATGTGCTGACATCACTTGTTTGCATATTTGAAACTAGGCCTAGGGAGGTAACAGGTTTATACCTTGAAGCCAGCGTTTTCAAACCTGGGTGCCTACAACGAGGCTTTGAAATCTATACCCAGGCAGGTGGAGCGATTTTCAGATTCATTTAATACTACGCTTCAGCGCTGCTGCGTGTAGTCTGTGAAACGCTCTAAAAATCCCCCAAACTGAAAGGCATTCTTAAAATAGCGCATTTCTGGAGTTTCTACTCACTTTGTGTTTATATGAAAGAGAATTAAACAGCTCGATTTATCGGGATTGCCCACCCCCCTCCCCTCCTATTAAGGGATAAAAAGCAGCGTGCTCTCCGATCTAACATACAGCATCAGCTCTGGTTTCAGATCCTTTTGTCTAACTTAAGAACAGTAGAAAAAAAAAAAATAAGCCAGACGTCACAGGCGTACCTCGCCGATCCAGAAGGACAGTTTATCAATCTTGTAAACGGAGACAAAGGTGTCCACGTAGTACAGGAGGAACACGTTGTGCAAAATGGAAATGAAGAGCGAGAGGGACCCGTACACCACAGCAGTGGGCAAGGCGGAGAGACAGCCCCGCAATCGCAAACCCATGGTCCTGCTGGCTCTGTCATGGGGCGTCGCATCACCTCCACTTCAGATGGGCCACTTCTCCCGGCACGTGCTGGACCCTGGTCGGGGCCAATCCATGGCTCCTCCTGCAAGAGAAGAAATGCAGTCAGACTCAAGTGTCTGAAACCAGCTGAGCACTGGCATCAAACACGTGGCTAAAGAGGATGTAAAAGGCTCACCGCTACCAGGGACGGTCAAGCCATTTCCTGAGCGTAAGCCATCATTTGTTCCCTGCCGTCGTAAAAGACGGGGCTCGCCTAGCTACGGCTGCCGACTCGGAGCAAGGCTGGCAGGTCTCCGATGCTTTGAGGGCGCCGTTGTCCAGCACAGCGGACTGGCTGTTCTCACCCTTGTATAGGAAATGCCAACTGAGAGGAAACAAGGCTTTACAGTTACAAACGGAAACCTCGCCTTCAAAAAACAGAACTAATCACCAATATTTTTAGATAGTCAAATTGAGAGAAAAGAGTTATCGGGGCTGGGAGGGGCGGGGGGGACGGGATTTCAGTCTCGGAAACATGACTGCAGGTGTGATATCATTACATGTGCGCACACTGCTGCAGCTGCTCTCTCCGAAACAGAAGTTAGCTACTTATCCCTGAGTTACTCTGCAGTTTTGCTTTGTGGACAGATACTTCCAGAGCTAAATTATATTTATATTTATACACCCCCGCCCTTAATTAAGTGGCGAGGCATCAAATCTGATGTTGAAATCCTGGCCCCATCACGACTTCCCAGCACTCAGGAGTCTGACTGCGTCTAGGCCATTATGTATACGACTAGCAATGCACAAAGAAGTGTTTCCTCTGCCCGAGGACTTTAAATCACTTCCTTTCAATTTACCACAAGCAAGAGCATTTGTTCCAATCAATGACATCACTTGATAGACATTTCCCATCTCCCACCAGCGAGTCTGATGAACAATGTGGACAGGCAAGAGCCCCGTGATACACGGCTCCATGATGACTAAAGGAAAAATCAACGGGGCCCTCTCGATCCATCCAGGAAGCACAGAGTGGAAGGCTATGCTGATCTCAAGCCCATTTTACCCTGGGATAATCCCACTGAAGTCAGTGAAGTTAGCCTGGATTTAACACCAGCCTGAGCACAGCGCAGGATACTGCCCCCGAGCCCAAAAGAGCAGCCCCATCTGTTCTCAGACAAGAGGGGTTCCCACCTATTTACTATGGCAGGATTTAACGACTAGCTAATGAATGGTAGAGGGGAAAAATCCAGCTTAACCTCTCTTGTGCTCCCAACCACCACCTTTCAAGAGTAGTGACGGGAGCTCCCGTTACTCAGACCCTATGTAATAGCTGAGTGCCGTGCTAACAGTGCACTTAACATGGGCAGGCAACGCCAAGAAGTGCTACCAAAACCGCTTAACTCTAGCAAATGTTAAATACAGCAGAAAAGCTGGGGGGATTTTCTAGACACTCCACTTTGACATGTACGGATACTCTTCCCGCGTCATTTTTGCTGCTGCTTCCCCCCAGCTGTGTAACCCCTCACTCAGGGTCGACGCACTGACATTTGTGAGCAATTTCAGCTTGTTTGGATAGTCGTCAGCCTGTTGGGTTTTTTTCCATAAATGATGAAAAGAGGTAGAGTTGGGCTTAAAGTCCTAGACTTTGCTCCTAGAGTCATAAAAGCGCTGTTTAAACCTGCCAACGCTGCTATTTTCATAACCTTTTCCATTGAGTCAAGTTACTCACTGGACGTTTCAAAGGTTTTCAGTTCTTGATCATCAGGGAGGGAGAGTCAAGAGACACTCTCCAAAGGGCTGAATGGTCATTAGGTATGGTGAATCTCTCAAACACGACAGCCGAGCAGGAAGCTTGGAAGACAAAAAGCCACATTCAGCAGTGTGAGTTTGAACTTTATTGTCGAAAAACAGAGTTTTTAACTCTGTCGACAAAGATGTCCGTTTACAGCACTTGTGTACTTAGCTCTATACTGTACGGCAGCTATAGATTTCATAGACATTAGGGGCTGGAAGGGACCTCGCGAGATCATCGAGTCCAGCCCCCTGCCAGAGGCAGGAAGTCTGTGGGGATCAAATGATCCCAGCAAGATAAACATCCAAACGCCTATTATAATTTAGCAAATGCAAATCTGCAAAGCCAAGCAATGGACTCCTTATGCTAAGCACAAAAGAAAACTGAAGTGTTTCCATCTTCTGTGTCTCCGCCGTATCCTGGATGTAACATGACGTGACAAAATCTCCAGCTTCGCTGTTCTGGAATGGGCCAAAATACCCAGTATGTTCATGCTCCGGAGACAGAGGTGCCTCTCGGTTAGGACATGTGAATCGTATGAGCGATGGCCGGATCCCCAACGTCAATGTGGACGCCCAACTTCTGTTTTGTTGATGTCTGCAAGAAAAGCCTTCGTGAGCGGTGCATCGATGGCCAACGCTGGGAGTCAATCGCTTCAGACCGCTGTGAGTGGAAAGCCGCCATGAAGCAGGGCCTATGTCGCTTCGGGATGGAGGTCAATGATGAGCTAGAAAAGAGGCGGCAGAGGCAGGCAAGACGAAATGGCGCTCGGCATGCCAATGCAACCTCAACTGAGTTTGTATGAGCAACTTACTGGAGGGTCTGCTTGTCACACACCGGGCTCCTGAGCCACTCGAGCAGCTGTGGAGGTACCGGTAACCCACCAAAGGTGCAATCTCCATGGTCTTCTGAGACCGATGGCTACCAATGATGCTTCTTTGCACGGGAAGCACAGGTCTCATCCCTGCCAGTCACCGTCTGTAGATCTTACCTTTATTGAGTAGGATGTTAGCAGGAGATACCTGGAAAGCACTGCCTTTGTTAAAGGGCATTAGGAGATTGCAGCTGGAAAACGCGTCGGTTTTGGGGCCCCTGCAACATCTGCTGTGATCTACTCACAGTCAACAGGACTTCCCTCCTGATCCCTCCTTTGGTCTGACGTAAGACCATAACGCTTCCATGTGCGTTCCCAGTTTCTCCAGCCCAGCCCTCCCCTGCTGTTGCACACCTCATCTCTCAAGCACGGAAAGGACACCCACTCCTTGCAATCCGCAGGGGGTGACCGCAGGACTTCACGGCACAGAAGACCTCATCCAGGCGTCCCTGCATGAAGAATAAGCTTCTACCCATGTCTGTTTTCTGTCGGTTTGTTAGCGGTTAAGGTTAAAATTGCCACTACTAACACTCAACCAATGGGCATCCCTTTGAGAAGAGCCCAAACCTGCAGCAAAAAGGGATGCCCATTGGGGTTGAGTGTTAGTAGTGGCAATTTTAATCCTAACCCTTTCGTGTTCCTGTGAAGGGCTCACTTGGCTAACTCGGGCAGACTTCGTAGAGGGGATGAGAGGATACCGCTGGAACAGCCCCTGAAACACTAACAAACAGACAGAAACCAGACTGCTGGCATAATTGAACCTTTAAACAAAGGAATGGATTAGTGTTAATCTGCTCTCCAGATTAGACCAGGAAGAGCAGGCAATAAGGAAATATCTCGTGTGCACTTGAATTGCTGTGCACGACAAGGAAACACCCTACCACATTCTTTACCAGCCTCGTGATACGCAGGCATGGGCGGGAGGCAGCAACGCCCTTCTCACACCCTCTCAATTGCTTGCGTCCGCCAGAGATGCTTGCACCTTCCTTGCAGGAGACGAGCACGTACCTTCCTGTTTCGCTGACAGTAATTAACACTTGGCATTGGCTGGTGCTCCGCTTCAACAAGGTGCTATGGAAAACAGCCTGTCCAAAACCCCAAACCATATCATTCCCTAATGAGATTGCAATCAGCTTTACTGACCAGACTAGCAGAGATACGATACACTCGGACTTTGGAAAGGCTGCATAATATTCTGATTTTTTTTTTTTTTTTTAAATCAGCATTATCCTACAGCAGTGATGCTCAACCTACCCAGCCCCAATAGGTTGGACTAGATGACCTCTGGAGGTCCCTTCCAGCCCCACTTCTCTAGGAGTCGATGAGCGCTGTCCGACAGCAAGAAAGCAGATGTTAAGTGGATTGAGAGCTGGCTATCGCACAGATTTCGAAGTAGCTGCGAGTTGGCAATGTGCTAGAGGAACTCCGCTGGATTTGGCAGGAAACCCACAGCTCTTCAACAGTCTTCAGTGGACGGGACAGAAATATAAAACTGCTGCTAAAAGAAAAATGCAGATAACACCCAGCCTGGCAGGGCGGCAAGTAATGACAGAGACGCAGGCAGTGACGGAGAGGGAGCCGGGTGCTTTAGCATCCTGAGCCCAGTTAAATCAAACACATTCTCGTACAGCCAAAGGCAAAGTTTTACCTCTCGGAACAAGACGTGCAAGCCAGGCTCCAGATGGAAAAGAAAGATTTGAGGGCTGGAGAAAATGCTGTACCTTGAGAGACTTCAGGGGCTCAAGTTATGTCTCAATGGTATTTAACAGGCAAAATGGATCGATAACGACATAAAAACCCTTTTCCAAGAAGACGGTGTCGGAACTAAAGGGCTCTTAAACCTGGAGGAAGAACCAGGGCTGGAAGCTGAGGCCGGACACATTCAAGCAAGAGCAACTCCCAAGGGCTGTGATGGAGCCTCTAGCCTAGAGCAGCGGTTCCCAGCCCGCGGCCCGCAGACCCCTGGGGTCTAAGGAGTCTGCGAGAGATGACTGTGATCAATCAGAAGTATGTGAATACACACGCTTACAATTCAAAAGGGGCCACACCTCCATTCAAAATTTTTTAGGGGTCCACAAATGAAAACAGGTTGAAAACCACGGCTCCAGAATTCAAGGTGGGATGCCTTCCCAGAAGACACGTCTGAGCCAGACATGAGCTACCGCCCTCAATCCGGGAATAACTGAGTGAAATATGATGTCTTTGATATGCAGGTGGCCAGGCTAGACACCTACTGCTCCTTCCAGCCTTATGTTTCATATTATTGCATGCTGGCTGTTTCCAAAAAGTCCCCAGATGAAACTGTGGGAATAAGCTTCTTCAGCTCACTCATTTAGGGCTATTTAATACAAAATTAGCTCACTGTCTGAGGAGCCTGTGAAACAGCAAACCACAAGGAAGGTCAAAGGGATGCAAATCATCTTGAAACTCATTTCTGTTGGACTTTGGTATGTCTTATAAAAACAGAGGGTTCCCGGAGCAGAGAAAAATGCAAGAGACTTTCTCCTCGTTTAAGTGTGTGTACCAGGCAGGACTTGGTGAGCAACTTCACAGGGACACCGTGCACAAAGGGGAAAAGCAGGCTTTCAAAAAAATAAAATAAAATAACATGCCAACAGCTGAAAATGACCAATGCCTTGTTTGAAGGATGGCAAGGTTCTCTGGGTAGATACAATAGCCTTTATTAGACCAACTAAATAGTTGGAAAAAAAGTTTTTTGCAAGCTTCCGGGCACAAACACCCTTGGTCGGGCATAGGGAGAATCTGTTGGTGCTACGTGCTCTCCTAGGATGAGTTTCTATTTCAACTGCAATCCTTCTCGTTGAGTAACAGGGTTGATGTCGTGGATATGGGACAAGCAAGGGTTTTTTTTAGTGGCTCCAACTGTACAACGGGGGGAGGTGGTCCACTATCACCGAAGCTTGCCAAGGAGACGTGCCCGTAACAACCCGACTCGGCTGGGACAGAAAGAACATCGCCGGGACGAGCTTGCTCGCATGCCACTGACTGAACATTGTTTTCTTTCTTATCCTCCCGCGTGTTAACTTTAAAACCCTTCGACAAAGACGCATGGGAATTAAAAAAAAATAAATACCAATGATCCCTGGGCTGAACCTTCTGCAATCTGACACTTTGATCCCTACCAGGATCAAAAATAAACCCATTTGACCCTCCAAGGGGTTGATTATGGTGCTATTAATGCACCATAATCTCATGGTGATTCTCGTTAGCATTAATAGAAGGGCTGCACCAAGCAGAGACGTGTTGGTTCCAATTATACAATCCATTAAAAAAAAAACAAAACACACCCTGTTTTCTACCTCCCCTTATTTCTAGTCTGCCCCGAACCTCAGGATCTAAGCAGACCCTCTGAAGAGGCTCATTTCACCCT